ATCTCTTTCTGGGGACATGCCCTACAAACCGCGACACTAACACTGAACCGAGCTCCGTCAAAAGTTGTTGAAAAGACTCCAAATGAATTATGGACTAAGAAACCTCCTAGGTTGTCTTTTCTCAAGATTTGGGGATGCGAAGCATATGTCAAACGATTAATTTCGGACAAACTTCACCCGAAATCGGACAAGTGTTTCTTTGTGGGAATATCCAAAAGAAACCAAAGGATATTACTTCTACAATAAATCCGAGAACAAAGTGTTTGTTGCTCGAGATGGTGTCTTTTTGGAAAAGGAACACCTTTCCAAAATGACAAGTGGGAGGAAAATCGAACTCGACGAAGTTCGAGAGGACGAGCAACAATGTCAACCTGACAAAACTGACAATCTAAGTGCTTTGGAAGCAGCTGAGAAGATTGGTCAGAATCAAACAGACAATGTAAATGCTCAACCTATTACCCTTCGTAGGTCACAGCGACAAAGATCTCAACCAGACAGATACCTTGGTATTGTCTTAACCGATGATCAATACATCCTAGTTATGGATGGAGATGAGCCAGCGACATACAAGCAAGCTATGACGAGCCCCGACTCTGCTAAATGGCAAGAGGCCCTGAAATCCGAGATGGACTCCATGTCTGAAAATCAAGTCTAGGACTTGGTGAATTTGCCCGAGGGTTACACACCCATTGGTTGCAAATGGGTCTTCAAATTGAAGACAGACAAGGATGGAAATGTATCGATATACAAGGCTAGACTGGTGGAAAAAGGTTATAGACAAGTCCACGGGATTGACTATGATGAAACCTTTTCACCGGTTGCAATGCTAAAGTCTGTCCGGATTATTCTAGCGATTGTTGTATATTACGATTATGAAATATGGCAGATGGATATGTCAAAACCGCCTTCCTAAAGTGAATTATTGAAGAAACTGTGTATATGACACAACTAGAAGGTTTTGTCGATCCGAGCAACGCTGGAAAGGTTTGCAAGCTTAAGAAGTCCATTTATGGACTAAAGCAAGCCAGCAGGAGCTGGAATCTGCGATTTGATGAAGCCATCAGCAAGTTTGGTTTTATCAAGAATCCAGATGAATCTTGTGTATACAAGAAGGTCAGTGGGAGTGACATCGCAATCCTAGTCCTATATGTCGATGACATACTACTCATTGGAAACAGCACAAAATTACTGGAGTCCGTAAAGGGCTGGTTGGGAACAAGGATAAATTCCTGGTTTATGGTGGCCATAAAGACCTGGTTGTTGAAGGTTACACCGACGCTAGCTTCCAGATTGACAGAGAAGACTTCAAGCCACAGTCAGGATACATATTCTGTCTGAATGGGGGAGCGTTTAGCTGGAAGAGTGCTAAGCAAAGCACAACTACAGAATCTACAACTGAAGTCGAATACTTGGTTGCTTCAGAAGCTGCTAAGGAGGTTGTTTGGATTCGTAAGTTCATTGGTGAACTTGGTGTTGTACCCTCCATCAAGGGTCCGATAGATCTCTACTGTGACAACAATGGAGCTATCGCTCAGAGAGCCAAGAGAGCACCAGAAGGTCAAACATGTCCAAAGGCGATTTCACATGATAAGGGAATGGAAATCCGAAAGTGAAATCAGAATTTGCAAGATCGGCACGGATGATAATGTGGCTGATCCTTTGACTAAACCTTTGCCTCAAGTGAAACACAATAAGCACATTGAGGCAATGGGAATCAAGCACATCGGAGACTGGCTTTGAAATTCCGTGTACATGTGTTTTAATTAAACTGTTGTTTTAATGGAAGACACTGTATTGAAACCATTCATTTATGGAGTAATTAATTTTTATGCAAAATTATCATTCACTCCATTGCTATTTAATTGTGGTTTAGAATTAAATAATGAGTCCATTCGATTTATTGAAATATTTAAAACAGGGAATCAAGACCATGTCTTGGATAAAGAAACACCTGTTAAGTGAACATTGAATATTGAAATCGAAAATTATCCCTAATCGAGGTCATCTAAATGATGGACGTTTGATGACCACCAGAGATTAGTGTGTAGTATGATTTACAGCACCATTTCTTGTGCTGCAAGGACATGATGGTCATAAACCATTTGCACTGGATTGACCTATGAGAGTACTTTAAGAGATTCAAAATTGTCATAAGTACATTTCTCATTATAGTTATCGGAACTCGTTTCCTCGACCATGAGTATTGTGAAGTTTTCTTGTTTGAGTACTAGTCTCTTAGATGTTGCCTAACGTCTACCGTAACTGGGGATCATAACGGGAACACTCAGGAGATTAGGTCCTCTTAGTAAGAGAAACTTACAATGCAAGACTGGGAATGTCACCCTATGAACAATATGGAACATGTCTTTGTTGTTTACAAGGCCGCTCGAAGAGTGAGACTATGAAAATGCATGGCCGTGCTCAGATGGATTTTAGAAATCATCTGCTTATTGACAGTCGAACTCGGAGATCGAGAAACACTTCTGAACGTAATAGGGATGTCAATAAATCTTACCTTATAGTTCACGAAGAGACATTAAGCGACATAGGAAATGGGCTATACACTGTATGCACACTTGTCCGGAAGGACAAGTGGGAGATTGAAAGGAATGGTGTCCTTCCAACAAGTGTATTATTCTAATAGAGGGTTCAGAATTATTACAGAGCTAATTCTTCAGTAAGGTCAAGTGATTAGAATGCCTAGGTGGAGGCCTCTTCCGATCGGTAATATTAAGGTATAATTAATATTACAGCTTAATCTTAACTGAACCCTTCGGGTCGAACCTAATCGGACAACCGATCCGAGACGGCGAATTAATCTGAAGGATTTAATGAGTCGACGGAGTTTTACGAACATAGACGTCGAATATCGAGCATAGGGCGTCGAGGCCGAGCGTCGCAAAATCACAAGCAACAAGTACGAGCATAGCCGTAGCTAGGCTAGGCTAGCTCATGGCAAGCCTAGGCGCACCATGGTGTGCTAGGCGCGCCATGCGTGCTATGCGCACTAGGCTGCCCATCGCAGCACCACCTGCGTGTGTGCATGCCTTCGCATGGCACAGCAGCACAGCGTGCGTGCATGGGTGCCTAGGCACTATCGCAGCACCATCGCACCATCGCAGTGCTGGGCACTTGCGTATGTGCGTGTGCGTGTACGCGTCAATGGTACACTTGTGATCGTGTAACCCGGCGTCCAACGCCATAGTTGAGCGAAGCACGCGTCAAAGGTATAATCTTTTATCCTTTATTGTGCTTTTAATTATGTTTTTCTTGTTAATTGCATTTATTATGGGGGCGGGTCTTGGCGGGTTTCTTTCCGCGTAGTGTGGGTCACTACGAAACCCTATAGAATGAGTCAAGAATACCTTCATGAAGAAGTTTCTTGATGCGTTTGATGTTAATGTGGCCAAGACGACAATGCCACAAGTAGGTTTGATTCGACTCAATGGTCTAAGCTCTTTTTGCGGTATCATTAACATTTGTCTAATCATATGTAAAATATGCGATTTTCATAGAACGTATAAGCAAGACATTCGAAAAACAACCATTGTTATAGACTTGTGATCGTTTAACCCGGCGTCCAACGCCATAGATCAAAATATGTTTAAAGGCATGATAAAAAAGAATTAATTTAATTAAAAGCCAAAGACAAATAATGTGCCTACAAACACGACGGAAGGACCATCTTCACTGTCCGCTCGTAGTTGCACATCCACTTGTGAAGCCCTTCTCACTTGGTCCATGAAAATGGGAACATAAAGTGAGTCAAACATGGTATCCAATACCTATGAATAGATTTATACACAAGTGTTAATATAGATACCTGAGGTAGACGAAACATTCCTCTCCTCCTCATCCCTTTGGAAGATCTTGCATTCCCTCTCGTAGTGGCCTTGCTCACCACAATAGAAGCATCGCATCTTCGCTTTGTTCTTGAACTCCTTCTTTTCTCTCAAGGGCCTTTTGGTTTCTCCATAGGAGGTGGCTCGGTGAAGCAGCTGCACCACAACTCTTAAAGAGTGTGTCTCCTTTCCCGCAGCTATAGGCGCCCTAAGTGAATCATAGCCCGAGTGGAGTGAAGCAATCAAGATATGACCCGCCATCTAAGCCCCATGTGCTTGAAGAGCCTATTCATTCTAAGCACATGAGGTCGAAGGGGCATACCGGGTCTCAAATTGGTATTGCAGACCGTTGACCAAAGCTGGTACCTCTCCTTAGCAAGGCAACCTTTTTCCGGTGGCTTTATCTTCATGTTCGAGAGTAACCTAGTCAAATCAAACACAAGTCCGTCGTAGTTGCCATTAAGACTCTTGGTGACTCTCACATTGACAACGTCCTCAACTGCTTTGAGGAACATGTCCAAAAAATAGAAGGAAAGATTTTCTTTCCATTTTTGCGGGATGGAATTGGCTATTAGTCGTGAGACTTTCTTGCAATTCGAAGACCAAGTATCATTAGTTTCATCACTCATCACTAGACGAAAAAGGTAAAAAGGCACCGGTTCAAACCCCCCCTTTGGCTCCGGTTTTGAACCGTTGGGGATTTGAGGGATGCCAAATCCATGAAAATTTGGCACCGGTAAAGCATTTAACACCGGTTAACCGGTGCCAACTACCATGGCGCGATTTTTTTTTTTTTATATTCAATACTATTGGCACCGGTTCAAATCATGAACCGGTGCGAAAAACCCCACTATAGGCACCGGTTTTTTCTTTGAACCTGCAAAAAGTCTCAAAAAAAATTTTAAAAAAACTTTTGGCACCGGTTCTGGTCCAAACCGGTGCCAAAAATACCCCAAAAAAATAAAAAATAAATTTTTTTTTTTTGCATTTTTTTCACTTAAATTGTACTAAATACTTATATATAATCATAATGGTAATCAATTAATATTAAACTTCAACAAAAGGAGAATACTGAAATTTATAAAAGATGAAGGAGCCAGTCTAAGCACTAATATTCCAGACATCACCAATTAGCCATAATTGACACATTAAACAATATTAATTAATATATATATATAAAACAAGAAATTATCTATACACTTGTATAGCTGTATGAATAAAGGTATAAGAATCAAGATGTGAGTATAGACCTCTACGATTCCAGTATCTTGTAGCCTTAGACTGGAATGCTCGTCAGAGAAAGGCATCAACAATTTTGAGCTTTTGGTGGAAGGCAGAGAAATAATCAATCTAATTGTATCAGCTTTAACATCAGTCAAGGTCTGCAGTTCCTCCCCCAACTCCTTGAGAGAGGCCTCTGAATTTATTTTTACCTCAAAAGTTCTTTCCCCTAAATATGAAAGGAACAGTAATAACATTTTGATGCTGCACCATAGTTTTCTGTAAGGAGATGGAATAGTAAGTCAGTGAACAAAGCTTCCTTGACAGACACTTGATCAAGAAAAAAATAAAAGTAGTTAGCACTAAGAATACTTTGAAGTGCATGTATTATAAACCAGCAAGCAGTCCTAATTTTCAGACAGCCAACACGTTGCGCTGAATGATATTTGGTTTCTTTCAATACAAAATCAAGAAAACATGATCCATTTAACACCAATGTCGATATATCCCCATCTATAATGGAACAAGGACAACAAATTAACCAGTTCTTAATATATCAACAACAAAGCCTGGAGTTAATCGATTCCATCAATATAAAGCAAACTTCCCATCAATTTAAACCTCATTTTCCATCATGTCCCTGGTTTTCTTTTTACATGCTATGTGTACTTAATGAGGGGTACGAGATAGAAATTAACCACACTGACAAATCTGTCATTCACTCATTAGGCATGACTGCAAGGGCTTTGACTCCGAGATGTGCCATCTAATAGTTGGTATCTTCTGGTTGCAAGCTAATTTAGATCATAAATGGCAGTACATAAAATTACATAAACCCAATAACTTGTGGCTAGAATTGATGCAACTGCCACAGTTCTCCTCTATATTCCTGCAGTCCAGCATGTAAGGCAAACGAGTTTTCAATATTTGCACCAAGCACATGGAGGAAACACCAAGAGTTCAAGACAAATAAATGCAATTGGTCTACTTATCAGGTGCAATTGATCGTTTCAACCGCTCTTGTCAGTGCATTCTTTACAGGAACTGAAAGCTTACTAGCATTCTAACAGGACTGTAACAGCCTAACATTATGCTATGTACAAGTAAAGAATGGGAAAACGGCATCACAAATTCACAGAGGAAAAGGGATCGGCAAAGTGCTGAAGAATGGGAAATGGTAATTGCTTATTAACACGAATACATAATTCATAGCTACAGAGAAGTGCTGAAGGATTCAAAAGTTGAAAGAGATTTTGAAGAAACTCAAAACAGATCATCTAGTTTTACTTTCTAAAGAGAGATCTTAAAATTGTGTAGACAACTGTGTGTTTAAGTATAGATCCTTGTCAGCAACCAAAGAATAAGAGCTCTAATCCTAGTCAACAAGTCATAGAGCTCTCGATGTAAAACAACATCTAGTGCATAGAAAGGAGAAAGTATGTAGCAATACATTAATGAATCAAATATGAACAGAAAGGAAGGAAACTGAATAACCAAAAAACCAATGGCATTTGGTGCACCAACGAAAAACAAGGTACACATGAAAACTTGTTAGAAATTACATGAGAGAAATGTCATAGGCCTTTATAGCAAGAAGATAGTTATAGTTTTCCGTCATATCAACAAGTAGTTGTTATAAAAGATAAAGGCGGAGTTTATAGACGCTTTATCAGTTGCAGACCTAGGCCCCATAATGCAACTTTTTTAAGAGTGATACATTGAGACAGGTACAGAAAGTCTCAGTTGAACTATTCAAGACAGACAGACAGATTTAATATCCCTCTATTGGCAGTTTATAGTTGCTTTATCAGTACTAACCTCATCATAAAACAGAATAGGTTCTTTCGAAGCCAGAGCTACTATATCAATTTTCTCCTCACAGTCTTCCCAACAAACACTGGAACCACACCTTTTCACTATTTGTGTCAACCTTTTCACTTCCACAATAAGGAGTTGTGAATGTGTAGTCATAGTCCAATATCACCTGTTGAAATGGTTGGCTGCAAGCATATGAGAAATTCCATGCAACTGGATTAGACTTCACTTTAACATTTGGCAATATGAAGCCAATCAAATGTACTTTATGCAAGAAAAGTCATTACAAACAAAACAGAATCAGGCTCAGGTTGCCCATGAAATTAGATCCTGTAAAACAAATCCAAAGTTACAAGGAAATTACAGTATATATTTATATACACAACTTCCAGCTATACTACAAAAGGTTACTTTCACCTAGCTCAAAATATCATCTCAGGAAAGTGAGTTGTCTTTAGTTTTTCTTCCCAACTGCAATTACAAAATATAGTACTTAAAATAGGGCAAGGAAACAAAATTCATGTAGCGCTAAGGTAGTACGAAGTAATTAAGATCTGAAGAAAGGATTAGTTGCAAGTTGAGTATACACACATGCTGACATGCATAGAAAAGGTTAAGGGACTGGCACACCAGATTATTACCAGAGCACAATGGGTAAATAAGGTGACATACCTCTTGACAAGGTCTCTTGGAAGAGCTTGATCATTGAAAACCCAGTCTTTGTACAGTTTGGATGACTACACCGCAGAATACTGTCTGAGAAAATCCAAAGCAAGGTACAGAGTGAATACTGCAGATAGAAAACATTAATCATATCTGATAAACAAAAGACTGAAAAAAGATTAAAATCTCTTTTTGTTCCATTTCAAATGTCAGAAAATAATAGAGAAACTCAAAGAGAAGGAAATAAAAAAACAAATCCACAAATACTTTATACTCCACACTAGAAGGAGCAGACTAAGAAATTTGTTGCAATGCGGCTAGCACTAGAAGGGCAGGTGTTATGGAATATGGGTATTTGTCCTGAGGGAGTTGTATATACTACTGTAGACGGTTCTTCAAGAATGTATGCTACATTTGTCAAAAAACAACAACATAGGGCATATATTTGTAAGGAATGAGCATTAAACAGATCGATGCACATCATGCTATATTGCTGTGGTTCTGGATGTACTCAGGTCACTGTTCTGAAGGTTCAATCTATCTGAAGGTTCTGTTCTAGTTTCTATCATGCTATATTGCTGTGGTTCTGGATGTACTCAGGTCACTGTTCTGCTGCTCATTGGATAATTCTATGTGGCAAACCTATATTAAAAATGTCAATGTGTTTATGCTTTGCAGTACTATTTTTTGTGATAAGTTTATCAGTGTTAATTCTCACCTTAATGTCTTATCATGGGAAGCAAGAACAAAGTCTTGTCTAAATGCTCTGTTTTTTAAAAAGAATATTCACAACTATGTCAACAAACTCTTGTTTCAAAAAATTACTATACCTGTTTTTTATCGAAATTAGCTTTTCAGAGTTAAACCTCTCTTCCAATTCTCTCTCAACCTAACACGCTCATAGTCATTAAAGGTGCCTCTTCACTCTCTTTTTGCCTCAAACCTAATTTTAATGAACCTCGATTTTTGGTAATGCTGTGTAAATTCTTACACATGGTGTGATTATTGATAAGTAGCAATTTAATAGACATTGATGAAGTGCATATTAAGAAAGTTGATATATATCTAAAAAAGGATTTGATGGGGCATGACATCAGCCCAAAATTAGTACATGTACATCTAATAACCCTCAGGCTCTCACATAATACACAAGTAAGCAAGCTAAGAATAACAATAAACTCAGACCACCAAGTAAAAATGGGCTAATAAAAGAAGATGGAGCAACATCATAGGAAGTGGGATGCATTGTAGGCAGGTTTTGAATGATGGATGAGTTATTAGAATGATGACTGAATAACTCCAGAATGGACATTGGTGTCTCTTTTCTGGATTTTGAAAAAAAAGTGGAAAGCTCCAGAATAGCAGTATTAGTACATGTGGAAAGAAACTTGATAAATTGTTTAGTGTATAAAGACTATACAATGGCAATTGAATGAGTAATACAAGAAACAAGCTAAGAACAGTAGTCCAGGAGTTTGAAACATGAAAGAAACGCGAAGCAAAATCGAAAGTGAAAGGAAACAAAGACAAAAAAAAAAGAAAAGAGAGAAGAGGACATACGGGAGACATCAAGAGGTCATCCTTGAAATGGTTGTATTGAGACCTCTTGTTGGCTAATTCAGAGGGCCACATTGCTCGATCACTGGGCAAATACCCCAGCAGAAGCTGCCAATTGCAATTGAAATTTATATTTTTAGGTATTTCAATTCCGATTAAGTAAGTAATCAACTCAAAGTATGAAATGAATAGAAAGTGAGACAGAAACCTTCCAGACAGTAGAGCGGATGGCAGGAGCATCAGGAAAACCCATGGATGCTAACCTCCTGATTTCTCTGATGTTGATGACCTTCTTCGACAGCTTTACAAATTCAACAAATTAGGTTAGGTTAGGAGTTTTTGGTGATGAATTGAATTGAAAAAGAATGAAGAGAGAGAGGAACCTCAAGTGAGAGCTGAGCATGGCGAGAGATCTCCTCGGGGGTAGGAGAAGGAGAAGGAGAAGGAGAAGCAGAGGAAGTGGAAGTGCCATTGGAGTCCGGCGGCGGAGGAGGTGGCGATGGAGGTCGAACCGGATACCCATAACTACAATCAACCAAACCCCTAATTTCAAAACTAAAATAACAAAAACTCAACCAAATTGGGAAAGGTAGAAGGAGAAAGGAGAAGATAGAGTGTGGTGGCGGTGGAAAGGGGTGCGTAGTACTGGAAGTAGTGGAGTCAAGAGGGAAAGGTAGAAGGAGAAAGGGAAGCAAGTTACAGAGGAAAAGGAATTGAAAAAGAAAGACGAAAGTTACGTGAATAACCTAACCCGGGTTTTTTTTCTCAAATATGGCACCGGTTTGAACCGGTGCTAATTAACATAGTTGGCACCGGTTTAAGGCGAACCGGTGCTAACTCTCTGCCATACTTATTAATTTTTTTTTTAAATAAATTGGCACCGATTTGAACCGGTGCTAATTAAATGATTGGCACCGATTTTGGTTGGAACCGGTGCCAACTCTGAATTTTTCAATCCCGCCCATTTCTTTTGGCACTGGTTTTTAAGAACCGGTGCTAAAGGGGGGGGTGCCTATTTCATTTTTTCTACTAGTGCATGATTCCCTTCCCATTCCTTGAAGTTGACCAAGTTAATGCTAAAACCCAACTTGTGGGGGAGTTCCGGACACATAGAGTTGTTGTTTGAGTTATTTGCAGACATGTTTCTACAATTGAAAGAATTTGAAATGAAAAACCATTCACAAACCAATAAGTTTTAAATTTAAAGCATACATGAAAATTTTCAATCTTATTGAGCGTTTTATCCACGCATTAATATTAGTCCCTTTTAGGCGAGAATAAAACGATTCCAAGATCCCAAAAATAAAAAAGTGATTAAGCATGCTTTAGCTTGTCATAACACTTAATATTTTAAGGTAAGCAATCCAATTGCTAATAGCTCTAAGCTACTCTTGGTTCGATAAAAGGTCGCATCTAATACTTCCATGACATTTTATCTCTATTTCCACGATATCTAAGGACTCCTTATTGATATCATTGACCTTAACCAAGACCAACTTGTATACCTAGTATACCTTACGTTCCTACGGAAGTAGTGATGCCTCGCTTTGGCGTAGTAAAAGAAATGGTGTCCTTCCAACAAGTGCATTATTTTGATAGAGGGTTCAGAATTATTAGAAAGCTAATTGTTCAGTAACGTCAAATGATCATAATGCTAGGTGGAGGCCGCTTCCAATCATTAATGTTAATGTACATTTAATATTACTGCTTAATCTTGACTGAACCCTTCGGGTTGAACCTAATCGAACAATCGATCCGAGACGACGAATCAATCCGAAGGATTAGATGAGTCATCAGAGTATTACGAACAAAGACGTCAGATATCGGGCTTAGAGTGTCGAGACCGAGCGTCGCAAATTCAACAAGCGATAAGTTTGAGCTTGGCCGTAGCTGCGCATTGGCTTAGCCATGTGAGTGTTAGGCTAGCTCAAGCTAGCATGCGCATCGCAATGCTAGTTGCAAGCCTGGCATGCATTGCGTGCTAGGCCAAGCGTGCTTGCATGGCTAGCATTGCTGGCTCAAGCATGCTAGCGTGCTAGCGTGCTGGGTCATGCACCTAGACGCAAGCCTAACACGCATCGCAACATGCTTGGGCCTCGCACATCACAACACGCAGCATCGCAAGCCATGCGTGCGTGTGTGTGGTTGTGCGTGCCAGCAAAGCCCGCAAGCATCGCAGGCATGAAGCCTTACGTACTTGCTAGCATGCTAGGCCTAGCACCAAGCGCATTGTTAGCCAAGCACCCATCGCAAGGCTAGGCCTTGCTAGCATGCTAGGCGCTCAGCACATTGTAGCCTCGCACCAAGCAGTGCACTCGCACAGCACACGCATTGCAACAACGTGCTGTGTATGCGTGTGTGTTGCTCAGCGTGCTTGCTAGCGAGCAGCACCATGCACCTCGCCACTCGCATAGCAAGCAACACCCAGCAGCATTATGCACAACATCCCAACGATGCATGCGTTGGCTGGCTATGCGGCTGCGTGTGTGCGTGGGCAAGCTGGCCAGCAGTCTAGCCTTGGTGCTAGGCGCTAGCTGGCTGCCAGCCTGCCACGTGGCTTGGTCAGCCGGTCAAGGGGAAGGGACCAAGGGTTGGTGGTTGGCATGGGGAGCAAGGTGACTTGATCCCCCCTTGGGTGGTCCACACCTTCTCTCTTCCTCCTTATGCCACTTGTAGCTTGTTGATTGATTTTGCATTTCTATTTTGTTTTTATTAAAATAAAATAGGGAAAATGCAAATCTCCCTCATTGATTGAGAATGGGAAATCAAGGTACATTTTACCTATAAATACCCATGATTTGGGATTTGGGATGAACACTTGAGTGGAACTAAAAAGGCATCTCCTTAGAAAAGTGTGAAAACCTTAAGTTCGTAATACTCTAGTTTTTATTGGTCAAGTCCCGACTAACCTTCGGGACTAAGACTGTTCGGGTCGGGTCCGTTGGAGACCGTCGCGCTTGCGAGGTTTAGCTTCTCAAGTAAGAGCTCGAGTTCGAGCGAAGCACGCTTCAAGGGTAATAATGTCTTTTCTCTTTCTCTTGTTTATTGTTTAATTTTGTGTTTGCATGCTTAGTTTCCTTAATTAGTGGGCGCGTCTTGTGCGGGTTTTTCTTCCGCGTAGAGTCGGACTCTACGAAACCCAACAATGGTATCAGAGCTGCGCTGAATTTAATTTTTGTAACTAATAATTAATTAAGGTGATTTAAAATGTATTTAAATTTCTTGTTGTGCTTTCTAATTAGATTAGAAGCTCGTTTTAATTAGTTTTAATCCCGTATTTTTACTAATTTTTGCCGACGAACCCAGATTTCGATTAAAAAATAGTTATTTTTGGGTGGAATCGATGTTCTAAATCGTTTTTGACCCTTTTAGGATTGTCCAGAAGCCAAAATCCACCGATAAACATGTTTTTGAGGGGTTTTCGTTTTTGACGAAAAATTTTAAATTTAACCTTGATTAATTATTGCATGTTGAAGGTAGATTAAATGTATGGTTGCATCCCTAATCTACTACAATTATAAACCTCATTAAGCATGTTTAGGAAGTCATAATTGGTGCTTAATTTGGTGTGTTCATTTTTCACATAAACTTGAATTTTTTACATTTTTTGCAAATAAATTGCTTCAAGCACTAGACGAATAAGGTAAAAAGGCACCGGTTCAAACCCCCCCTAAGGCACCGGTTTTCAACCATTGGGGATTTGAGGGATGCCAAATCCCTAAAAATTTGGCACCGGTTCAAAACCGGTGCCAACTAAAGGCTTTGGCACCGGTTAACCGGTGCTAACTACAGGCTATGGCACCGGTTAACCGGTGCCAACCACAAAGGCGCAAATTTTTATTTTTTATTTTTCAACACTATTGGCACCGATTTTTAGCAAGAACCGGTGCCTTAAACTGGTTTTTTTTTTTTCGGCAATAAAATATAATGATATTAATACTAATAAATATAATAATAATGAGATCCTGCATTAATTCTAACATTAGGATATTATATTAATTATTATTATTATTATTACAATAATATTAATAATAATATTAATTATTATTATTATTATTATAATATAAATAATAATTATTATTATTATTATAATATTAATAATAATAATTGAAATAATTACAATACAAATATTGATAATAATCCCAAAATATAATACTAATTAGAAAAAAGTGTCATAATTACAAACAATATTAATCAGAAATGTAGTACACAAGTTCAAAGCGAAATGAAATTTACAAATTAATTGTGATGAAGGACGCCAACATGTCTCGAACTTCATTGAGTCCTTCGCTCGTTAACGGACGTCCCGTTTTCCCCTTGAAAAACTTGGAATAAACAAAACGTAAGTTAGGAGTGAATTACTTAGGTTATGTATGCATGTAAAAATACATTTACAAGTAAGGCCTATTTGACTACTATGATGCCTATTTCCTACATTTCTTATCAAGTGAACTCATACTTACTCATAACATGTCATTATCACTTATTTATAGGTGGATAAGGCTTGAAATTACAAGAAAATAGCAATTTATGGATTTTAGGACGCATTTTCAACCAAAATGGCTCGAGTAAGGCTTATTTGACTACTATGATGCCTATTTCCTACATTTCTTATCAAGTGAACTCATATTTACTCATAACATGTCATTATCACTTATTTATAGGTGTCTAAGGCATGAAATTACAAGAAAATAGCAATGTAAGAGTTTTAGGACGCATTTTCAACCAAAATGGCCCAAGTAAGGCCTATTTGACTACTATGATGCCTATTTCCTACATTTCTTGTCAAGTGAACTCATACTTACTCATAACATGTCTTTATCACTTATTTATAGGTGGCTAAGGCATGAAATTACAAGAAAATAGCTATGTAAGGGTTTTAGGACGCATTTTCAACCAAAATGGCCCACGTAAGGCCTATTTGACTGCTATGATGCCTATTTCCTACATTTCTTATCAAGTGAACTCATACTTACTTATCAAATGTCATTATCACTTATTTATAGGTGGCTAAGGCTTGAAATTACAAGAAAATAGCAATTTATGGATTTTAGGACGCATTTTCAACCAAAATGGCCCGAGTAAGGCCTATTTGACTACTATGATGCCTATTTCCTACATTTCTTATCAAGTGAATTCATACTTACTCATAACATGTCATTATCACTTATTTATAGGTGGCTAAGTCATGAAATTACAAGAAAATAGCAATGTAAGAGTTTTAGGACGCATTTTCAACCAAAATGGCCCAAGTAAGGCCTATTTGACTACTATGATGATGCCTATTTCCTACATTTCTTGTCAAGTGAACTCATAATTACTCATAACATGTGTTTATCACTTATTTATAGGTGGCTAAGGCATTAAATTACAAGAAAATAGCTATGTAAGGGTTTTAAGATGCATTTTCAACCAAAATGGCCCACGTAAGGCCTATTTGATTGCTATGATGCCTATTTCCTACATTTCTGGCTAAGGCTTAAAATTACAAGATATAGTCAATGGCATACCTCTTCAAGCTGTAGTGTGTCTGTACAATGACTTACTATTTCATACATGAATCTCATCACGTATACGCCACAATCAACTCCGTTATCTTGTTGTGCGCACTAGCATAAGAACAAAGTACATGAATCAAACATGCATATATAGAAAATTAGTAACATTTTACGCATTGTTTATTACGAAAATCACAATATCATGTGGCATTACCATCGGTGATTTCCATGTGGGACCTCGAGGAGCTCGACAATTTATCTTCTTCATAACACTATATAGAAAAGTAAGTTCAAATTTTATTAGTATTATTAATAAATGAGTTAGGTAATGATAATCCACAACAGGAATTGAAGCTATATTTACTTTTGCAGTATGGAATTCACGAGGCGCTTTCTTGGATAAGGTAACCGAGTAGAATCAAAAAGGAAGATTGTGTTACTGGAAACACAAATCACCAGCAGGGTC